TATCTGAAGGTCAGATCATAACTACTTTCAGTTCCGTTACAATTCTGTGTGCAGCGACTGTTTTGCTTCATTTTTGTTCGACAACCTTGATATGATTGGTTACTTTGTCCATAATTCGTTCTTTTGAAACTCATTCAACTGAACATCGGGATAACCACCGTTACACATGCAGCAGCACCGGATGGAATCCCTCCAGAAGCACTGAGAACAGACACAAAGACATACTATTATTGCAGAAAGTTTAGAGGGAAGGAAGGAAAGGTACCTACCGATTGGAAGAAGGGTTACTTTGTCAAACTCCCAACGAAAGGAGACCTTAGACTTTACAAGAACTGGCGCGGAATCATGTTCCATCCCAGTCCACCTGAAGCAAAATAGTGAGCCGTACCATCCTGAACAGACTGAAAAATGCTCTATTTTAAAAATTACGACCGGAACAGGGTGGATTCAGGAAAGACACATCATGTAAGGATCAAATTGCAACACTACGTTACGCATCATCATACAACAGAGCATAGAATGACAGTCAACTCTCTACCCGTACATCAACTTCATCAATTCTCAAAATGCCTTCCACAACATCGACCGAAAACTAATCTCGAAACTGCTTCAACACTACGCTTTCAGTGCCACAAACATTTATCAACCTCATTCAACTGGTACACGCTATATTATGCTACATGTCAAGTGATTCACAATGGAAAACTCAGTGACGCCTTTCAAGTGAAGACAAGTTGACAGGTAAGACAAGGTTACCGCCTACTATCATCCATCATCTTCCTCATTGTGGTCAACTAGACTCGACTCAACTGGATTGGACTGTAGTGGAGTGGAGTGGATGATGCAAGAAACTGTGAGGAACTGTGAGAAGATGGGCATACACTGGCTGTTTGACTGATGAAAAGACCCTACAACATTTCGATTTCACCCATCATGATTTATGTCTAATGTCTAATGTCGCACAAACTCGAAGATGTACAAGCGAAAAGTGAGAAGTTGGCAGAAGAGGGAGAGCAGTGAAGGAAGACGAGACTTCCTTCAGGTGGACGTAGAGAAGACACAGGTGATGGAAATACCCAACCAACAACAGCGACAACAACAGGCACCAATCACCATCAACAGGAGAAATTCAAACCAAGTTGTCTCTTTCACCTACCCACCTTACTAGGCAGCATCCTCTCAACTACAGGCGGCACAAACACAGATCATCATGTGAAAGCCATGATGGGAAAGACAACAAGACAGCCCTCTTTTAATCTGTGGAGATTTGTTGCACTCCACTCAGGATAAAGAGGATACGGGTTTTCAACACCGAGTCACTCAAGTGAGTCAGTGTTTCTATGTGATGGTTGACAGACTTGGTGCGTTACGAAAAGCATTCCTAACAAACTACACACATACATCAACAGCTACCGCCTACTCTCGCTTGATACTGAAGATCACCTGAGATGGCCAGAATAATAATAATAAGTAACAGGGAACTCCGGCCTAGCAACAAACCAACCAACCAACAACTTATCACCCGACAAATATGTACTGGAAGAAAGTGGAGATGGATTGGATTGGATTGGACGTGTAGTGAGAAGACGGTTTTGGAGACATCATGCAGCCGGTCAGGCCATCGAGTGGAATCCAAATGGGAAACGACGAGTTGGATTTCCAACGGTGACATGGAGATCGTGTGAGGAAGAAATGAAATGTTATGGTCAGTCTTGGAGCCAGGTTAAGGAGATAGGAGAGAATAGAGTGAAATGGAGATGTGCTACTGAAATTGTATGTTCCACTAGGAACCCACGGGACAAATAATAGTAATAATGATTATCTAAAAAATACTTAATAGGACATTCAGCTGAGAAAGGCGTATGTGTTTGAAAGATATCTTTCTCGTTGATTGCAGTGTTGGTGACTGTTCAATCACTTCTGCATGTAGAGCTAGGCGCTTTGGTCATCTGACGTTCATCCTGTCGTAGCAGGTTCGAAAACATTTTCGTGTGTGGTTGTTAAGGGGTATCAGTAAATCCATGAGAAATGAGACCGTCTAAAACCTCGTCAGCATCAGCCACAGACTCCTCTTTCAATGTCATGTTTAGGGTCGAAAGAAATCTACTGAAAGTGATATGCCTGTAACTAGTTTATGTTCTAGAAACCTTTGCTATATGCTCGGGATAACCTCAATTATATACAAAAAAGAATCTCCTTCAACGGTTACTTTTACTTCAAGTATCGGAATGAATCTGTTTGATCGTCTGAAATGAAAGAGGACTTCGGTGGTGAAGATAAACGTTTTTCTGGATGAACTCGTTCTTTTAGCTAGCTTGCTCTTACCTTGGTCATAATCACAATATTTCAATGTTCTGCCTGCGTTGCTCTTCAGTCTTTTATTGTTCCTTAGATAATTCATCATATTTCCTAAGCGTTAGCTACCATTCGATCGCGGTGAGCCAATCGGATAATAATAATAATTTTCCCTTGGTTTCCTAGTGGAACATAGGGGTTCATTGGCACGTCGCAATTGCACTCTGTTCTCTGCAGTCTTTTGGACCTGGCACCACGACTGCCTACAGGCTTTCATTTCTTCCTCACATGATCTCTTCCATGTCACTCTCACCTCAGACGACCAACTCGTCGTTTCCCCTTTGGATTCCACTCGAGACCCTGACCTGGGGCGTGATGTCCCCGACCGGCTTTCTCAGTGCATGTTCAGTCCAATCCATCTCCGCTTCGTTTCAGTGCATATTTGTTGCGTGATAGGTTCTTGGTTGATTGGTTCCCAGAGTTCCTTGTTGCTTATTCTTTCTCACTTTCTCATCTGAGCTTGAGTAACAAGCCAGCGTAGGCAGTTGTTGATGAATATCTGTAGTTTGTTGGAAATATTTTTCATAACTCACCATATCTCTCAACCACCACATAGAAGTACTGACTTATTTGACTGACGTGAGTGTTGGAAGTCCGTATCTTCTTTGTCCTGAGTGCAGTGCGATAGATCTCCACAGAATAATAAAGGGCCTGTATTGTTGACTTTACGGTCGCGGCTTTCACATCCTCATTTGTGCCGCTGCTGCCGTCACCACCACCTGTAGTTGAAATGTTGCTGCCTATATAGGTAGATGAAAGAGACAACTTCGTTTAGATTTCTCCTGTTGATGGTGATTGGTTCTTGTTGTTATCGCTGTTGTTGGTTGAGTATTTTCATCCCCTCTGTCTTCTCTACGTTCACCTCAAGGAAGTTTCGTCTTCGCTGCTCTGTTCTTTCTGTCAACTTGTAGGTTAGTAGTAGTTGATTCTAGTTACTGTCGAAATAACAGGACTTGAATGGTTGTAGTAAATGCTAAAAAACAAAAACAAACATTGAGTCATTGAGGCGCTATGTAGTGAACTGACAGAAGGTTGGAATGTGAACCTTCGGATTCCGATCCAGTGACTCAATGGTAACGTGCTGTCCATGGAACCTGAAGGTTCTGGGTTCGATCCCTTGCGAGCTGAGGTGGGGTCATGGCTGTGCATTTCTTATGAGCCTCACATTAGGACCAAAAAAACTGTCCAGTGCCCCCAGGTTTCCAATGCTCCTCGAACTGATATCAGTCCGTGGTAAATACTAACTTGAAATCAATACATTCCCACAAACCTGCAAAGTAAATTAATCTGGTGCTCATTGGTGACTAGCTTGTAGAGGTGGTTCCCGAAGTTTCAATAAGTCGTAACCAGTGGGGAAAACCTGGTGGCCTTGAGGATAAATACTCAACGATGACATTGGGTGATAGTCGCTTTATATCTTGAACTGACAGTAGTCGGAAATATGGGCTACTGGATTCTGATCCAGTCATTTAATGGTAATGTACTGGCCGTGGAACCTGAATGTCGTGGTTTCGATCCCCTGGTGGTGCGGGGTCATGGGTGCTCACCATTGAGAAAGTCCTCTTTTAAGACGAAACAACTATCCATTGCTCCCAGGTTTCGAATACTTCTCTAACTGATAGCGATCCATGGTGAATACTAACTTGAAGGCAAAAACAAAACTTTGAAATTTTTTTGTCGAGAATATTTTCTTGTATGTGAATGATTTCCACCACCGACGTTCAAGCTTGAAGGTAAGCGTAAACAGCAGCGAATGTTATCAACAAGAAATTATGTCAGAATACAGAGTAAGTTACTCAGAAGTTCTCGTATGTTCATGGTAAGTAGAATTCACTTTATCTTTTGGAATTGTTTCGTATAATTGCAGGCTCTTTGCCATCGATGTTCTGTTTGCTAACTTCCCTGGACACAGTTTTTTCTCATAAAGATGAATTGACTTAATTAGGTGCTGGATTCAGGGACCAGCTGGGTTCAAAATGAGCGAAACAAGTTTTCAATGTTTATGCCACATATCGTGGCTTCAACTGCAAGGTTTTACTAACGAAGTCCTGTTTCCACTGCAGTTGAGGAGTTGAAAAACTACTTAACTATAAGAAATGTCAATGTGGACCGTATGATTTGTTACTAATTTGATATTAATGATGGGTAGTGGCTATCATTGGAATCGACGACATGCTTTCCATCCCATTTTGCACTTGTCAGCTGGATGTATCTGTATCTCAGTGAGTGACGTCGTCCGCACTAATACTAGACCACGGGACCGGTCGCTTCAAATACCGAAACGTTATCCACTAGGCCACCCAGACACAAGGTTAGTCTCGGAGAGAACAACACTCACTAGGATGCAGCTGCATCCAGTTGACGAGTCCCAACCAGGACGAAACGTGCCGTCTAGATTCCACTGTTAGTCACAACCCAGTCAATTATAACAGTAAATACTCAGACAATATCGAAACATCTACATAGCAGCTCAATCCAGTATAACAATGGAGAATGATCAGTATCAACATATAGTGATTGGATAAGTTTAGTCCAACATGGAGTTAGGCCATTTCTTTCGCACTTCTAGGGTGTCATGTGCATGCTCACATAATTTCGCTTAGTTTGTGAATCATTCAATTTGTTTACATTTCTTTTCTTTTTAGTAAATGAATCTCTGTACTCTAAATCTGCACAGATAAATGGTTCCAGCTCATTGAATTACCCACATATCGATGTTGATTTAGATTCTCAACTACTCAGGAATATACGTTCGAGTGATACTCACTCTCCACCTCATATAATACCAGATTTACCCAGTTTACTTCGATTCTTTGATCGTACTGGACTACAAGTACTTTGCCGTGCTGCAGGTAATCCAACTCCACAAATTCGTTGGTTTTCTCTACCAACCAATGGTCGACCTACAACAGCTGGCTTGGATCACTTGTTCTCCGGAAGTTCAGCTTCAGCTAGTAGTTCTGCTTCATCTTCACCTTCATCAACTTCATCACCAGGCTATCTAAGTCATAGAGAAATTGACTTTCAAAATGATGAGAACTATGTCAGTGAACTTGGGTATAGCAGTCGTGTCAGGTATGTTCCAATTCCTGCATGTAGACACTCAAATGACATTCAACTCGATTTAAGTTGAAACTTTATGTTCCAAATTATTTTTCATCACTATATCATGTTTATACATTTCAAGTGATCTATTCGATAGCTCTCGGTTTTGTGAAGCTTTGACTCATTGGTTTGGTGAGATGATGGCTTTCAACCAATGGGTTACGGGTTCGAGACCCGGCTTATCTACCGAGGTTTTCGTCAACCAGGCAGTATCACTAGCCTTTATAGAATTAGGTGTGGTTCACTGCGCCTACTGCATGAAGGTGCACATGGTCACTGAGCGCATTTCAAAGTCGATTTGAGATTCTGTTGGATTAATTAAGCTTGAATGATGTGAATACTTGTCATTTTTGTGTAACCAACATAGACTACACACAGTATGCTAATTCCATACATCTCTCTCAGTGCTACTAGATTAAGCAAAAGCATTCTTTGAGCTTTGAGCCCCCCAACTGATGTCAGTTGGAGGATATGCAGAGTTTCTTTATTACAAGGATATCGTCCTTTCCAATCACTTATCTATGTTAATACAGGCATCTTCCTGACAAATACATAAAGATCTTTATTACTTATTCATGTTCAGGGAGTGTAAATGAGTAAGCCTAGTGTTTTGCTCTGTTACACAACGGTAAACGTCTACCAGATTCGTTCTCACATACTTGACCTGATCACAGGAGAATTTTCGTAAGACCTAGAATATGCAGATGACATACTCCTGTTAGTTCTATGAAGATGCTGACAAGATGCAGAGTCTTCTGAACACTTTGAGTGGGAATTTGAGAATGTTTGGGATGCATTTCTCACCACCCAAATGCAAATTCTGCTCCAGAACTGGTGTTGAGCGGTGCCACAGCTAACAGTAGAGAGTGAGGGTAGTGGTTGAATGTGTTGACCACTTCACTTACCTGGGAAGTGGGATCAGCCCTGATGGCTCAGTGACCGATGAAATCTCTGCATGGTTACAAAATGCTCGATTGGCTTTTGTCAATTTACGCCACCTTTGGGGTCGCTGTGATAACCGATTGTCTACTGAGGGTTGCGTATACTGCACAGCAGTCCGGTCTGTTCTACTATGTGGCTGTGAAACATGGGTATTGAGTGTGGAAGACATGAGAAGACTGGCTTGAAGTGTTTGACCATCGTTGCCTTTGTGGTATATGCTGTATTCTGTGTTGTCCCCAGGTGAGTAATGCAGAAGTCAGGAGTAGAGTTTTAGGGAGAAGAGGTAAGTTGGTTGACGAGGTTATGAACCTTCATCGACTGAGATGGATGGTTGGGGGACGTGTGTTGTGTGTATGCCTAGTCATCGATTGCCTCGTCACCTAATGTTGGCTGAAGTAGGTCGAGACTGGAAAAAGGGTGGAGGTGTCCAGACTAAAACATGGTACGAATGTATGAAGTGTTTGACTGTTGGTTTGAGCCATGTGAGGCGATGCAGACTGTGTGGTTGGGGTGGTGTCCGTGGGACAAGAGGAACCAGAGATTGGGGACTGTTGGTGATCACATGGCTGAGAACTGATGTGAGTTGTACAGATGTGTTCACACACACATTATCCTCATCTTAATGACGCTATACCGATTCTCATCACTTTCTCATTCTTCGTTTCTCTCTTTTGATACTTTATACTTCTTCTGACTTTATTATCTTCATGTTTCACCTCACTGCCTTTTTAGTTGATGTGGTGATATGAGGTGTGGTGGTAACTCGGACTGTTACGCAGTAATGCCTGGTCCTAGGTTGATCTGGATGGTGGATGACACTTCACAGTAGTACACAAAGTACAGATGGATAGAAACGGTTAGTGAAAGCTTTAAAAGATGTCAAGGCGAAGGGTTCTAGGCAAGACAAGAAAGTCGGTCGATTGATGGGATTATGAAGCTTCATCGTCTGAGATGGCTAAGATTATGACCTATACTCCATATAGGGATTTACCGCTCACGTCGACTTGTTATCCTAAGGGATACTGGATAAGGTTAGGAGAGAGGGCTCTTGGTGACCAGACCAAGACACGAGATCAGTCGATGAAGTCTCTGACCTTTGATCTGAATCATATGAAGAGATAGTAGACTGACTGGTTAAGGTCTTCGAGACGAAAGGGATTAGTGGTTGAAAATCGGTGACAGTAGCTCAGATGTATCCACTCCGTAACATATTCTAAAGCCATTTTGATAAAAAATATATTTCCAGTCTCAACATGGTAGATAGGATACAGCCATTCATACATTAACTTTTAGTAATCCTCACCATAGGGAGCATTATAAGGAATAACAGAGGCTGGGATGCAGGAAGGAATATTTATTATTGACATCCTATACAGTAGTGATGAAATATTGTACACTTTCCATTAAAATAGTCATTTGTGTAATATGCTTCATTTCCTTTTTGCTTCTATCTCAACTTAGTCTTAATACGCTCAGATTGTCTCTTGCGTTTCTCTGGGCAGAATATTTACCCATTGCTGGTAATTGTCTTTGATTTCTGCTGACCTCTAAACATATACTACTTACATTCATTCTTATCAGTAGTACCCACTATAGCATAACTACGTTATATAGAGAATAAAGTTGTCATTATGAAGTATCAGTTTGTTCAATAAGTAAATAGATAGACAAAGTCAACGTAGAATTCTACACACAAATGCATCGGCCTGGCGATCCCGTATGGAGCTGTGGCTCAGTGGTTTAGGGAGGTGGTCTACCACCCATTGGATCACGGGTTCTAGCCCTGCTCCACCTGCTGAGGTTAGGGCAGCCAGATACTATCACTAGCCCTCAGACAAAAGGTGTGGCTCATTGGGCCTGCTGCATGGATATATATATATATAAGGTGGGTTCGTTCGGGATCCCAGCCAAGTGATCTGCACCTTCGTACACACCTGCGAATAAGTCAGGGGGACTTCTGGGACTGTTATCATATCTTGGTCTAGTAACCCTTCAGATTCTTCGCTGTTTATTCAATCATACACTCTCATGTATTTGTTCGTGTAAAATTTTAGGGAGGAGGGAAATATTAATTGTTAAGGTTGTGAACATTTATCGACAGAGATGCCTGAGACATGCATTACACAGGCGTAATCACCGTCCTTGTCATCGCACAATGTTAACTGAAGTAGGTTCAGATTAGCCTTTGACTGTTTATTTGAGCTATGTAGGAAGATGGAGATCAGGTAGTTGGAGGCCATTTCGTGACAAAAGAAATCAGTGGTTGGAGACTTTAGATGATTGATATGACTCAGAATTGATGTCAATGGCTTACTACTGTTCTTAACTGATTCCTCTTTCTTTCTTTTTTTAACCGTATTGCTTTGTAACTTTTTGAGTTGATATGTGGCGCAATAATTAATACGTGGTTTGCTTGTGAATTTATCTAAGTTGTTTTGGTAGCTTAATTGATAGAGTGCTAGGTCTATGGTTCGAATCCTACTATGACGCAAATTTTCTTTACACCATCATCATTGTATATCAATATTTTTATCTACCCTTCATTTTGTAGAGAAACACCTCAAGCTGATCAAGCGTTATTATCTTCTCTGGAGAAACTACACTCAACCCAGCCAACAGTTGTCAGTGTTGTTAACACTGGTAATAGTATTGGAACAAGTCATAGTAATGGTATCAATGACGTGAAGCATAATGCTAACAATCAAATTATTGTCGGTAATGGTTGGTTAAACTTTACAGCTACACGATCGTCAACAATGCGAATGGTGTTTTTTTGCCAGGCAGAAAATTATCTTGGTCAGGCTAGATCACGAAAAATGGTTGTTCATCAAGGTAAGCAGAAATCAGTATCCCCTTTCCCCCCATGCCTCCGTGTCTTCATTGGCCCAGGATACTACTGGTGATGAGAGTCTCCTTTGATTGGTTACTGTGTATTTTTATCCAGTGGTTAGTTTTCCCTCAAATTGTTTGGTCAGGTTAACTTATAAATCAGCTGATCAGGCAGATGGAATTAAATTTTTACTATACACACTTATACAAAAGTCTTTTGTGATGATGGAGAATATTTATGGGTCATGAAGACGATTTCGATGATGTTTTCCTCTTTGAGCTTCTTTCTGAGGTTGTCTAGAGTGACCATGAAAGCTTCATGAATCAGCCATCCAGCTCAGAGAACACACCACTATCAAAGTACATAGCTCTACCTGATCATGTTACAGCTATAACGTAACACCTTGTAGTCATTTTCAGTATAGTATACACATTCCATCTCGTTGGTTGACTAATTTTTGTCTCACAGATTTTTTTTAACTACCCTTTTTGCTTACTCCTCACCCCCCTCCACACTCCATCCTTCCATAAACATGTTTAGCTAAAGTTTACCTATTATTATCCTTGTTAATGTATATTATTGTGCATCTTTAGCCAAGAAGCAGGACCCTCCCAGTATTCATTTGCCTCTTTAGCACTAATGAGGGCATCTGGCTGCCTGTTAAGTGATGAGGTACAGCTCAAACCCATAACCTACTGATGGTAAGTAAATAATCTAGACAAATGGACCGTATCTCTACTGTTGACTGATGAAGCATTAAGCTAGACAAAAGTCAGTGTTATACATTGACCAGTTAGTGAAGAGTAACCGATTCCATTTTATCCAGCCATGAGTGTTCACTGAGTTCTGTCGGCTGGTTCGCAAAGTTGTCACCATTGTTAGAATACTCATGAGAACTTGATGGCAAGCCAAGATAGCTCAGTGATAATACTACTGAATAAATCATTAGATGTTAGGAACTCGACGTTATCAGTTACCTCTAGACCATAGATAAACCATTCTGATGACCACTGACAAGTGAGGAACGTTTTGTCGATTATCTCTGACCACCTCATATCAATGAAGGTATAGATTGATGAGACTATGACCTCGCACAAATCTTTGGACTATCTGATTACCGATCTAAGTCATATAGAAAGAGAGAAAGAGAGGGCTGTATAGTGTATCTGGTTTATTATTATTTGTCCCTTGGCTTCCTAGTGGAAGCTACGGCTTCAGTAGCACGTCGATATTTCACTCTCTTCTATCCAGTCTTCCGAACCTGGCTCCAGGACTGCCCACAAGCTGCTTTCATTTCTTCCTCATAGCATCTTCTCCATGTCACTGTTGGACCCTCAACTCGTCGTTTCCCATTTGGCTTCCACTCGATGGCCTGACCTGGTGTGTGATGTTTTTAAAACCGTCTTCTCGGTGTATGTCCAATCCAATCCATCTCCACTTTGTTCTTCTGCATATTTGTTGTGCGATGGGTTCTTGGTTGGTTCGTTGCCAGGCCAGAGTTCCTCCTTGCTTATTCTTTCTGGCCTTCTCATCTGATCTTCAGTGTGGAGTGAGCGTAGGCAGCAGCTGTTGATGAATGTATGTAGTTTGTTGGAAATGCCTTTCGTAATGCGCCGAGTCTCTCAACCATCATATAGAAGCATTGACTTATTTGACCGACTTAGTGTTGAAAATCGGGATGTTGTTGTTTATGCCGAGTGCGGCGGAGTGGAGTGCAGTAGATCTCCACACTGATTATATCAGGTTAATGAAGGCCTGTCTTGCATTGTGTGGATATTTTATGTCCCCACTCTTACTTTCGCTTTCATCGAGAGAAGACACATTGGCCAATTGGGTTCCTGAAGGCTTTCACTGATCGAGGTCATTTCGTCTTCCCGATTCCAGCGAGGAATAAGTTTATTTTTAATTTTATATCTTTTTTTGTGCTTTGAAGTTCGATTATCGATTGGATTAATTTTACGGTGTAGGGTTGCTAGCCCTATGCCCAACCTTCCCTCTTTATGTGGGCTTAGGACCTGCTAGTAAGTAGTGTATTAGTTAACTAGGCAAGGTTAGGTTCCTCAAAATTTTAGAAAACCTTAATTGAAAGCTCTCAGCGAAATGTGGAAGAGAAGAGAAGAATACTTTCAACAACGGTATACACGTTTATGGTGTAGGAAATGATTCACACCTATTATCTGAAGGCTGGTATCAGTTTCATCAAATACGCTGATAACCTGACAGTTTCTATATCTTACCTGTTTCCTCTTCGGCAGATTGTTCCCGACTGAATGATTTCCTTTCTATCTACTGTTAGACGATGATCCTCCGTGAATCGTCTTATGCTTAATTCTCCAAAATGTCAGACTATAAACTTTAATTTTAAACGTGAACGTAACCTGGATAAACTGCTTAGTTCTCATGATTCCTGTTCTATTCATAGTTGTGCATTAGAGAATGTTATAAGTGTGATCTATCTCAGTGTGTTTGTTTTACTTCAGACCTTTCTGGTCCTTCCCTATATCTTACTAATTTCCAAAAGATGTTTCCATCTAACATTCTATATTAGGAAGCTGAGAGTATATGGTATAACACAGCCTCTTCTCTTTTGTTTTATAAATTCCTGTATCTTTCCTGTCCTCCTCTATTGCTCCCCTTTATTCCTTCCTGGATTGTTGAAAAAAAGACCATACTGTGTATTGCATAGAACTTTGAAGATAGTCAACAGAACTAGTGGTGTACCTCTGAACCCTCTAGTTAAGACAACTGTGAACAAACATATTGACTCATATAAACATCTATCAGGAGTTATTTTAACAGATGACCAACATCATCTTCACTCAAATATGTTTGTGTGTTGGTCATCTGACGAGACGAGGAGCAAGTACATAACACTTCATGCCCGTACTACAAAATATAAAAACTCTACAATACCGTGGTTATTTAGCTCATCTACTGTGTGATGAACAAAGTGTTAGAAATGAACTAACACTAATCAACTTCTGTCTTTGAAAGGAAACTAACTGGAGATGAGCAGGTTACTATTTATGTATTATGAATCTTATTGACAATATGATTTCAAGTTGTTGTTCATCGTAGACTGACATCAGTTAGAGGAACAAAGAAAACCTGGGAGCACTGGGAAACTGTTTCGTCCGACTAGTTTGGGACTTCTCAGCAGTGCGCACCCACGACCCCGCGACATTCAGTTTCCGTGGCCAGTGCGTTACCATTGAGCTAGCCACTGGGTCAAAATCCAGTGGTCCATATTTCCAACTTCTGTAAGCTCACGATATAGCGCAACCGCCACCCAATATCATCGTTGAGCTGGCCACGGAACCTGAAGGTCGCGGGTTCAGTCCCTGGTGGTGCGGGGTCGTGGGTGCGCGCTGCCGAGGAGTCCCATACTAGTTAGACAAAACAGCCGTCCAGTGCTCTTAGGTCTCCTTTGTTCCTCCAACTGATGTCAGTCTACGATGAATAACAACTTGGAATATTTCCAAATCCCCACAACTCCTTCAAAAGACAATATGATTGTCTACCTAAACTGACTGTGCATTTTGAAGAAAGTTGTAAATAGAGCGAATATTTTCATCTTTTCTTTATGTAATTTTCGACTTATTTCATTCTGCTGTGTATACATGTACACTGTTTCTCTCCAATTGATGCCATATAATGTTCTGAAAATTCTATAGAGTATTCCTGAAATAGCTTTCAGAATAAAGGTATTGTTATTAAAAGAAGATTATTAAAAAATTAAAAAGTATGAAGCTATCCAGACCTTGGTAGGTGGAGCGGGGTCATATGCCTAAGCTAATGAGCCATATATCTCAGAATCAGTAAGCTTTACTTATTTATCCTCTCACCTTTCATTTACTTTTTTTTTTATCAACTATATTATCATTCTCTTTGTTACCTACTCTATGTTTATGTGTTGCTGTGAAGTGTGACAATTTGAACTGATGTATTTCTATTCAAGCTTCGATGTGTGTATTTTCAATGAGCAGATTACTCAGAAGTTTGAATTTCAACTAACTGGTAACTACTTCAGATTTCAATCTGACTAAAATGAATGTTGTCACTTGTAATATCCCCGTCGTTGATTGTACCAAATCGATCGGTCTCTATTGGTATATGGGCTGTTATGCGGATACCTCTATATTGCCTGTCGTTTCAGTTTTGACATTAATGATAGAAGTCAGAAGTCACATTTCGTCCTGTTTGGGATTCGTCAGCTATATGTACCTGCTTCCCACTAGGACTCGAACTTGTGACCGGAGGGTTGTCCACTAGACCACTGAGTCACAACACTACAAGTATAGGCGTCTCATGAGAAGTGACTCTCATGACGCGATAGCCTGGTGGATAACGTTCTGGTGTTGGAAGCGATATTCCCCTAGTTCGAGCCCCCGTGGGAACAACATTACTTACTGAGAGATGAGTACGTCCAGCTGACGAGTTGCGAATGGGTTGAACTGTGCATCTTGGATCCCGCTTTTAGCGACTATTCATCATTATGGTGCCTAGTGATTGAAAATCGACTGTCTAATCAGGTACACGAATAGCTTCCATTGATGAAGTTGTCAACACACATCGATTGATGTGGCTAACACACGTGTCACATATGCCTATTCATCATCTGCCTTATCGCGTTTTGGTTCGAAAAAGCTCATCTGTAGTTAAAACTAAACGTAGCATCAGGACCCCCCCTTCGAGTCTCTGATTATTGATCTTAGTTATGTGTAGGGGAATGTAAACTTCTCGGTTGTAATCAGCATGACAAGCGAAATATTTATTATTAGTCTCTTGGGTTTCTAGTGGAACATAGGGCTTCAGTAGCACGTCTCCAGTGAACTCTGTTCGCCGAGATCTTTTGAACCTGGTTCCACGACAGCCCAGAAGCTCTCATTTCCTCCTCGCCGACCTCCTCCATGTCACCCTCAGCTGGGACGCCCAACTCGACGCTTCCCATCTGGGTTCCACTCGAGCAACTGGCCTGGCGCGTGATGTCCCCAGTCGGCCTTCTCAGTGTATGCCCAATCCAATCCATCTCCACTCCCTTCCACTGCATATTTGTTGCGTGATAGGTTCTTGGTTGGTTCGTTGCCAGAGTTCCTTGTTGCTTATTCTTTCTGGCCATCTCCACTGATCTTCAGTAGCGAGCGTAAGCAGTTGTTGATGAATGTATGTAGTTTATTGGAAATCCCTTTCGTGACGCGCCAAGTCTCTGAACCATACAGAAGCACTGACTTGATTGACATTAGTTAGTGTTGAAAATCCGGATGTTGTTCACACTTTATGCTGAGTGCAGTGCAGAAGATCTCCACACTGGTTTCAGGTTAATGAACGCCTGTTTGCTTTTCCGATTCTGACTTTGACATCCTCGTCTGTGTCTGTGACGCCTGTAGTTGAAACAGTGCTTCCTAGATAGGTGAAGGAGGTTACTTCCTTTAAGTTTCTCCCATTGATGGTGACTGGAGTTTGTTGTTGTTGTTGATGGTGGTGGTGCGGTATCTTCATCACTTCTGTCTTCTCTATATTCACTTGAAGTCCCGTCTTCGCTGCCTCTTCTATCAACTTGTTAGTTTTCGCCTCTAGATCTTCAAGTTTGTGCAACAGAACACGAGACACAAGTCATCACTGGCGAAATCCAAGTCTTCTAGGTTCTTTTCCGCAGTCCAGCGTATGCCCCTCTTCTCGCTCTTCACTGTTTGTTGCATGATCCAGTCCACTACAATCAGGAATATGATGGGTGATGGTAGGCGGCAGCCTTGTTTCACTCCTGTCTTCACTTCAAAAGCATCACTGAGCTTCCCATTGTGAATTAATTGGCATGTGGCATCTTCATATAGTTGTTGAAGGAGATTGATAAAGGTTTGCGGTATTCCGTAGTATTGAAGCAGTTTCCAAATTACTTCTCGGTCGACGCTGTCAAAGGCCTTCTCAAAGTCGATAAAAAGACAAGCGAAATAGCCGGTTGGAAACTCTAAGCTGTATGAACTGGAATGCCAGATCCCATATTGACACTGACTGATTGATGGACGTGGTTGTCCATACTATCATGTTATAGTTATTCACTTGTTTATTATATATAGTAATTGGAAAGTCAATTCGAAGAATGATATTTAAACATGATCTTTCTGAATGCAAACTTTAGGTTTGATCAATTTTATTGCGATAGCCTCAGCTATGTTGAGGAGGTGTCGGCGAGCTACATGTGGTATTGTTTTTGGAACACGATGTATGACATTGAAAGCTTTATAAGCATCTATGTGATACCCTGTGTCTACTAGGTGCGCTAGGATTGATATTCTCTCCACTTTCACTTCACCCTTTCCAAACCAAGCTGGTAAATACTCTCGTACGCTTAGACGCACCTGCCTGGTTGTACTTGCTACATAACTAGTTCCACAGAAACAGTTAAACTGATATATGCAAGATGAAGAGCTAAGATTTAGGTAGGCTATCCTTTAGTCTCGGACTGAGCATTGACCAACTACTAACCGACCTGCATTAAACATCCTAGCTAAGCGTTGTGATATGATGTCACTTGTAGCATCTCCTTTGAATTGCAAAGACAGAAGCAAAGGCTTCTTCTCCACTGTCATCGATTCTCGTTTAGGACCAATGTAATTGATGTCCGCTGTGATGAACTTATCCGAATATCCGTTTTCATTTAGAATATCGCGGATACACAGTAGTTCTTCTTCCACACATTCTTTGGAACAAATAAATCCTACTGTGGATGCCAGCCACCTAATTAGAATATTACGTTTGTACTTCATCGGCATAAAGTTGTGATGTCTGTCTCTTATGTATACTTCTCAGTATAGAGTCAACTTCTTTTCTTGTCATAAGTAGCACATCAAGGAAATGCATTGAATCATTGATTTCACTTTTCTATGTAAAGTGAATTGATGGATGAGGGTTGTTGTTGTAATACTTCAGAATAGTATAATTGTTTTTTATATGATACTGTCGTTGCTTGGACCGAATTGATCGGTCTCTATTGGCATGTGGGCTCCTGTGCGGATGCCTCGATATTGCCTGCGTTCTAATTGTATTAATGGATGGATCGTGGCTAGCAGTGGAATCCAGCCTATATGCTAATAGAGACCAATCAATTTGGTCCAAGCAACGACGGTATCATATGAAAACAATTATACTAAAACTATACCCGTCGAACAGGAAGTGACTATCGTGGCTTAGTAGTGTAGTGGATAACCCCTGGCGTTTGGAGCGATCGCTCCCGAGTCCGAAGCCCGGTGGGAAGCAGGTACATCCAGTGGGTCCCAAATAGGACGAAATGTGCATCCTGGATTCCACTGCTAACCACGATCCATCATTAATACTTCAGAATAGCTAATAAATCTTTCAATGTCGTCCGTCATACATTGTGTTCCAAAACATTACCACATGTAGCTCACCAACTCTTCCTTAACATATCTGAGGCTGTCGCCATAAGACTTCATTCTGGAAATGTATTTACCTCAAAACTAGGCTTATCTTTTTGTTCTGTACATTTTCACTTTTTAGCTGTACAAAGTGATGACAAAATATTGAAAAGAATAGTCTTCGTGTTTAGATTATTAGAATTTTTAGAATACAATATTGCTATTCATGATGATGTTGAAACATATTTTGGTTATATTGCGTTCTCTGAGCTGGACTGTATAATCATGGAGTTTTCAACGTCTTACTAGACAGCGACATCATCACCACTAACTTCAGTATGAATTGTGAGATGTCACGATATCTCTCCATGAGTGATTTAATAGCTTACTCTGACGATGTGGTCTGTGATTGGTTGTTTCCTTCGATTGTTGCATCATTGACTGACTACATAGATTTTCCTGTTGGCTGTTCCTCTGCTTAATCTCTAACCTTTCTATCATTGACCACTTTCCTTATGGGTTGATGGATTGGGATCTATGTCTATACATATACCGACTGACTGACGTGAATGCCAAGCTTCTAGGAATCCTCTGATATAACATTCTTTATGTTTCCTCTCTCCATTGAAGATTTCTACATTGTCAAAGTAGAATTCATTTACATATTTGTGTTATCCACGTGAATTGAGTGATGAGTGATGAAATGTCTTGTGAGACGTTTAATAGTCAATTGGTGTTTATGCAGACGAAGGCGAAGGTGGGCGACCAGTTTGTCCAATCCAATGAATGTGGTGTTCACTACAGTTATTCCAGTTGATTTTGTAAATGATATCCGGTTTGCCTTCTTTGATTGTTTCGCCTTTTGGTCTGGATAATAGAGTTTGGAAGGTATTCGTTGGTTTATCAGCCACACCAATTCCATTGGATTGGACAAACTGGTCGCCCACCTTCGCCTTCGTCTGCATAAACACCAATTGGCTATTAAATGTCACACAAGACATTTCATTACTCGTCACTCAATTCACGTGGATAACACAAATATGGAAATGAATTTGATTTTGACAATGTAGAAATCTTCAATGGAGAGAGGAAACACAAAGGATGTTATCAGAGGATTCCTAGAAGCTTGACATTCACGTCAGTCAGTGAGTCAGTGAGTCAGTGAGTGAGTGAGTGAGTGAGTGAGTGAGTCAGTCAGTCAGTCAGTCAGTCAGTATATGTATAGACATAGATCCCAATCCATCAACCCATAAGGAAAGTGGTCAATGATAGAAAGGTTAGAGATTAAGCAGAGGAACAGCCAACAGGAAAATCCATGTAGTCAGTCAATGATGCAACAATCGAAGGAAACAACCAATCACAGACCACATCATCAGAGTAAGCTACTAAATCACTCATGGAGAGATGTTGTGACATCTCACAATTCATACTGAAGTTAGTACTGATGATAGTGTTGTCAACTGTAAGGGCAACTTTAAAGACTCTCCTAGTAACTGATGGAACAATCAGTCACTTTTCTTTATTCTATGAAAAATAGTCTCCCCGGATAAAATGCCGCAAGCTCATTGGTTATTTTATCAGTTGTTAGGGTAACTTTTAAAGTCGCCTCAGTTAGAATATGCAGTATCTGGTGGGCGGGGGGGGGGTTTCCACTTCACTCGGTGTGTAGTGAAAATGCAACACTCAGATCACATTTGGAGACTTCTACCTTGAAATGATCACATAATCTTTGAAAAAAAGTGATTACCTATGATACTTGAATAGAATCGAAATGTTAAATATGCTTGGTCTATCATTATTACTACTCAAAATGTTGTAATTATTCAATTCCCCTTGGTTTCTTTTTTTTTCTTTTACTGTATATAGTTCCTATGCCAGATGAAAATTTAAAGATTATATACAATACTTTCCCTATTAAACCAAGACAGAAAGCTGTTGTTAGTTGTCAACCGGAACAAGGAATTTTTAATCGTTTCTTAAAGGTGAAATATTGGGAAGTTTATTTGAATGGAACTCTGATTTCTACAGTTGATCATTCATGTATGTTGTTACATTGTAATGCATATATTTCATATTTGTATATTGTGTGTATGTCATTAAACTGTTTCTCTCTCTTTATTGTTCCATAATATTTCTTAATATATGAGAAGTCGATTTACAGGAATCTCTGCTTCATCTTTGTTTCTTAGTTGATTATCTACGATCTGGAGGACAGTTCATATTCCTTCAATATTGTCATTGAATAATCCATCACTGAAGGGATTCAGGTGATGGCTAACCCTTTGGTAGATTAGATTATCCACACATTGATTGACACTAAGGACTTGACTACTTCGTTTGGTGGTGTATACACGTATGTGTTGGTTATTTCCAGCTCTTCCTAACTAGGCATTATTCGCTATATTATCGTTTTAACCAATTCCATAATCAAATGAATTGTAATATGAGTTTTATAGACACTTTTGGATGTGTGAATTTTATCTAGAAACTGGTGGCACCTGGAGAGATTTCAGTCTGTAAACTCTACACATCATTACTACTGCTTTCCATGTCACCGATGTTTACTACAAGCACATTTGAATGTGTGTGAAGGAAACGAGAAGCCGGAGACGAAGAAAGGAAGGAATGTTTATTATTAATATCTGGTACAGTAGTCATCAATTACGGTACACCTTCCACTGAGATAGTCACTTGCATAATGTGCTTCATTTCCTCTTCAGCTTCTATCTTGATTTGCTCTTAATATGCCCACGTTGTCTCTTATGTTCCTCTGAGTAGAATCCTCACCCATTGCTGGTAATTGCCTTTGATTTCTTCTGACCTCTCAACATATATTGCCTGTATCCATTCTGATCAACAACGCTTACTACACTGGTCCCCGCCTTCAAACTTTCGGGCTTGCAGCCGTGTTAATCATCTTCGTGCTGTCTTCTTTTCCCCACGCTTCCATTTTTGAATTAGGCTGGCCTTTATTTACTCTTTTCTCTTTGGTCCCCCTTTTTGATGGTATAAACTGAACCATGTCTCACGGTAACCATGTGTGGTCCTTCTCACTTAGGGAGCAGTTTACTTGTACTATATTCACCTCGTGATATAGATCCTCGTTCTTTACATTTCACCTGATTTCTGACCTCAAACGGTTTTCATTTATTTAATTCTCTCTGCTCGAATTTTTCAGCCTCAGCTTTCTGTTTTTGTTCCACATTTCTGATTGCCTGGTTCTTCTCCTTTCACAAACTTGTCATGTTATATGGCTGTTTTTGGGGCCAGTTCTTACTGTTTTGTTGGGAGCCGTGGATTCCTGTCATAAATTAACTGGGACGACAACTTTTTGGTTGTTTCTTGTACCGAGGCTTGATGCTCTAATAATGTTAACGGTAGTTCCATCTCCTAAATCCCTCCTTGGCTTTCGAAGCCAGCTACTCCTTAAGTATACGGTTATTCGGTTCTGTCAAACCGTTAGTCTGCTTGTGGTATGACATCGTTCTTATTCTCTTGATATCGAGCTGCTTTTGCTCTACCCCTTAGCCCCTGGATCCCAGACACCAACTTGCTTCTCGACCGGCTTGAAGTCCTTGAGGAAGACCTTGATATCTCCATCCTGGAACACTGCAGGCCACGGAATCTTCATCACGCCCAGAAGCATTGACACCATTTCTTAGGTAACGAGAAGACTGAGACGCAGATAGGAAGGAATGTTAATTATTTACATCTTGTACATTAGTTATCAGATATGGTACACCTTCAACTACGACAGTCATTTGCATATTGTGCTTAATTTCCTCGTCTACTTCTATATCCACTTGATCTTAATACGCTCACATTGTCTCTTACGTTAGTGGTAATTGCCTATGATTTCTGCCACCCTCTCAACGTATACTACTTACATCCATTCTGATCAACAGCGCCGACTACAATACTATCCAACAGTAGATAATGAGATAAACCTATTGTGCAGCAGCTAGTGATGTAGCTTATTCACCTTAATTTTTAAACTTGAGATGGTCCACTTGTATAGGGGTTCTATGTTGCTTTTTATCTGTTTATGCATTCCCGTATACTTAGATCGATAAAATACAGCACCACTTTCTTGTAATCTTTCTTACATTCTTGCCAACTTGCATACCAACACACGCGAGTAGAATATGGTCTCGTAAAGGCTGTGTCTTTTCCCCCTTATGAAGAGGATTTATGGTAATCTTTAACGTGACTTATAATGTTTTCATTCGTTATAATGTGACTGCCCACTAATCATTTATTCATCATGAGTAATCAGGTTTATAGGTGAATGGGGGAGGGGCTGTTTTTGCAGTTCTTAAGGTCAAGGTCGCGGCATTAACAACCAAATATGTTCTACCCAATAAGTATCGAATCACACGAAGGGAGGTGTGTCTTCATACTTCTAGGGTTCTGTTTAATTCTGTGCACTTCTAGTGTTTAGGAAGGTTGACATTAGAATGGTGCACATTTGACGCCATATCTACATGGTAGATTAATTTTTCATGAGATGTCTAAAAAATAAATAGGGTTGGTGTGGGGTTAATCATTTATTATTTTTTTCCCTTGGATTCCTCGTGGAACATAGCGATTCAGTAGCATGCCTCCATTACACTCTCTTCTCTGCTGTCTTTTGAATCTGGCTCCAACAATGACCACAAACTTTCATTTCTTCCTCACATCATCTCCTCCATCTCACCATCACCTCGGACACCCAACTCATCGTTTCCCCTTTGGATTACACTCGACGACCTGACCTGACGTGTAATGTCCCAATCAGCCTTCTCAGTGTATTCCCAGTCCAATCCATCTCCACTTTCTCCTAGTGCATATTTGTTGGATGATAGGTTATTGCTTCGTTGGTTCGTTCCCCGAACCACAGTTCCTCCTTCCTTATTCTTTCTCGCCTTCTCATCTAATTAATCTTCAGTATCGAGCCAGTGTAGGAGGCAGTTGTTGATGAATGTCTGTAGTTTGTTGGAAGTGTTTTCCGTGACACGTCAACTCTCTGAACCATCACATAGAAGCACTGAGTTATTTGACTGACATTGGTGTTGAAAATCCGGATGTTGTTCACGCTCTGTGTTGAGTGCAGTAGATCTCCACACTGATCTCCACAGATTAATGCAGGAATGCCTGTCTTGTTGTCTTTCCGATCCTGGTTTTGACGTCGTCATCTGTGCCTGTGCTGCCTGTAGTTGAAACGATGCTCCCTGCCTAGGTAGGTAGGTCGGTAGGTAGGTGAAACAGACTACTTCCTTTAGGTTTCTCCCGTTGATGGTGTTTGGTGCTTGTTGTTCATGCTGTTGTTGTTGTTGGTTGGGTATCTTCATCATCTCGGCGGAATAATCATATTGAACTACAATTGTGACCATAGAGCCTAAGGGGTCCTGTACTTTAACTTTCTTCGATCGAGATGTAAATATTCTGTTGAACCAGAGGAAATCGTACTACTTTATCATGGCTGATCGTTGTTAAGTCTTCCCTTTTGATAGACGGAAAACAATACCACCTAGTATTTGAAGTAAAAACACCTTACCCCTTTTATTCACCACCAGTTCAGCCGTCAGTACAATTTCACCCTCAGATGTCACTCCACTGTAACATTTTGACTGTGAAATTATCACTAGAGGCGCTGAACAACTGTTTCTTCCCAGTATTGGTCTCCTCAACAGTCCGGATCCATGACCCTGCTAGGCATCGAACCTAGTGCCTCAAACATTTTCGGCAAGCACGTTACCATCCAGTCATGTTTTTAATGTTTCTCCATCTGACGTCTGCTTATGTGATGAATATCACCCTGAAACTAATCCATCCCTTGAAATATATAAACTGAAATCAGCTGACTTTTCATTTCATCGTTTTCAGATTGACTTTCTCGGCAGGGTGGTACCACTTCAGAGAACAATCCTTGTAAACTGTATAATACAGGTTGGCAAGTCCAGCATTATCATATCAATGTTAACAGTTATGATTGAGTGGAAAGTTCATGAAAACCTAAGCAAGCTATATATGACAATTGACATTTCATGCACTCCTAGACTGGAACCTAGCATGTATTGCTTCCAACACCAAGGTGTTATCCCCTTAGCTATTATGAATCAATCACTCAATGGGATGCAGTTGTTGTATCCAGCTGATGAGTTACAAACAAGACGAAATCCACTGTTTAGCGATGTATATCACGATAATTTATCATCATTCATCAGCATAGGACCAGTCATTACTGCGTATCGGTCCGAGTTGCCGCCACACCTCATATCAGTAGTACATCAAGTAAAAAGGCAATGAAGTCGAAGATGAAGAAAAGAAAATCCAGTCAAAAGAATTATAAAGTACGAAAAGAGAGCAAGGAAGCATGAGAAAATGGTGAAATTCGGTGTGGCGTTAGCATCAGGATAATGTGTGTGGGGATACATCTGCACCATTGACATTGGTTGTGAGCCATGTGATCACCTAAAGTCTCCAACCGCTGGTTTCTCTTGTCCCGCGGACCCCACCCCAACCAGCTGTCCTGCATCGCCCTACATATCTCAAACCAACAGTCAAAGACTCTATGCACTGATGCCATGTTTTAGTCTGGTCACCTCCAGCCTTTTTCCAGCCTTAACCTACTTTGATCAACATTATGTGACAAGGCAGATTGTGACTAGGCATACGTAACACCCGGCCCTGCGAGCCATCTGGGTCGATGAGGGTTCACAACTTCGTCAACTGTTTTACCTCCTCTCCCTAAAACTCTACGCCTGACTTTTGCGTTATTCACGTTATTCACACCACAGAATACGACCTATACTACAAAGGGAAAGGTGATCAAACACCTGAAGCCTTCTCATGTCTTTCACCTTCATGATCATTATTCTTACGTTATTTAATTTTTTTTTGGTTTGTTCGTATTTCTTCTTACACGAATTTTGAACTTCGTCTAGTCTCAGTATCGTTAGATCGATAAATAAACTGCGGTTTGTTCACAATATGTTAACAGTAGACATTGAAGTCGATAGGTGAGGTGACTAATTTCTCTTGATATCAGGTGAATTTGT